AATAGGGTTATCAACCTTGACAATGTTTTTTCATCAGTATTTCTTTGAATTGCAAGTGCAGTAGTGCTAGCCAGCCTGTTCTAGGATTCTTTTCTGTTTCGTTCACGGCGTTTTTGCACAGCCACAAACTAAAAGCCCTTGGTTCTCTCAAACGTCTGACATACTCTTAATTATTCTTTACAAAGAGTACAAATGAAGACGAAACTTTGCATAACAAAAATATGCATGTGCACTTTTTCAAAGGCATTTTTCGAAGAAGTATAAAAAAAGAGAAGTGTTATCGTTTTTTAAATTTTGTTTATTATTTTGTTTGTGCTGTTTTCATAGTGGATACGTTGGCACTTTTGTTCTGAAAATGATGAGGTTAACTTGATCAGTTCCAAGTTATGTTTAGGTAATATTGTATAAAGTTGCCAATGATGACAAAACCTCTTGTTTCTCCATAAAGGTCTGTCAAAGGGGGCTAACAATAACCATTGTCTTTACATGAAATATGACTTGTGATCCTGGGAAGATCACGATTGTATATAATTGTGTCAATTTCGAAGCTTTTTTAAAGGGCATTTTTTTCTTCGTGTTCAGAATGAGAAACGTTTGAACTTTACTCTCGTATTTTCGTTTTGCCCTACTATGTTTATTTTCTATCATTTCTCTCTCCCAACCTGAATGCCAAGCCAGTGGTGTCCCGTGTCCCTCGTTTCTTCTGTCTCATTCTCTCGCGGGTGAAACCATGACATCCAGTAGGTTAATGTTTCTCATAACGGTTCCACCTCTCTGCACTTGATGGGGTCACTGAAGAGAGGTCGTGTTACGACTAAAATAACCTTGAGTGTGTGAAGTCGTATCAAATCTTAGAAAAACCCCGTGTACGTGATGGCTCGATAAATAATAAAATTCTTCCTCTAAAAAGAATAACTGTTATCTTTTACAAGGTTTGACGTGAGTGTAACATAATAATATGCCGTTTTATAAAAAGAGGAGATTTTTTAACAGGAAGTATAGTTCAACTTTTTTTACACCTTTAGTTTCACTAGTGAGTTTATGAATGCATTTTCCTTTTGGAATTACCCAATTCTTTTCTGATGCAACCAGGGTCCCAGTGAGAGGCATGAGCATTCAACTACACTCAGTAAAGTCTGTGTAAAAGTACAAAGTATAAAAGCACATTGCTTACCAGTATGAGACAACCGACTAGTCCGTTTGCCTCCATTGTAGGTCAAACCAACACCCCCCCTCCCCACCACCTCTCCCGCCCCAAAGCCTCGACCGATAAGAGCAAATATGACATCGCTAATTTAAACACAGAATTTGCTGGGTACGGGTCATACGCCCACGAATAGTTAGTCATACATTCTTCTCGAGAACTGTGTCTGAAATGTCAAGTTCAAGATGCTTAAAGGAAAATAAAACCTCAACTGAGATAGGTAGAAAGTTTGATCTGCTACTCGCACTTAGCCGACAGTCCTAGCGAACTAATGACATAGCTACAATGTCCAACTCTATGACTGGCATTAGTCAAGATTGAGTGCTAATGACACGCCTGTCGTCCACGTCGCTTTTCCACCCGCCTCCATACAAACTTATCCTCCATCACGTCCCCACCCCCCTTCATCCCACATGTCCTCCACCTTCTCCTGCCTCCATTTCCTCCTCTACCTCTTTCAGTTTGTTTCCCCCTCTCTATCATTGTCTCTGTCTACCCGTATCTCTGTCTCATTCCTTGTCGGTCTGTCTGTCTGTCTGTCTGTCTGTCTGTCTGTCTGTCTGTCTGTCTGTCTGTC